AGCGCCTGCTCAGTGAGAGCTGTCAGGAGAGCTGTGGCCGCGGCAGCCGGGACGTTCTCTTCCCCAAGGCACCTGCCTACCCCGAGGACTGCTCCCCCGGGACTGCAGGTGACGCCCCAGGCTGGCCCGGGGAGTGGGGGGCTGCTCCTGCAGGTGGTTCCAGCCCCCTTCCTTCCCTCAGGTCCCGGGTGCTCATTCTGCTGAGTCCTCAGGTGAGACCCTCCTCCTTTCTGAGCCCGTAAGTCCATGCCTGGACCACGGGGTGTGGTGGCTTAGCCACTTGAGCTGGGAAGTGTATCAGTCAGTGTCGAGCACACGAGTATTGCCACAGTGGTTTAAAACAGGGTGCGTGTGCTCTCTGGACCTCCATGTGGACTGGGGTTAGCCCAGCCAGGCTGGCTGTACATTCCTCTGCATCGCTCTGCTGCGTGCATCCCTCTGCTGGGGCCAGCGAGCTCGCCCAGGCTTGGGCATCTCGCCGCAGGGGGAGGTTTGCCAACCACACCAGCTTCGATCCTCCACTGTATCTCCGCTGCTCACACGCCATCGGCCAAAGGAGTCCTGAGGTGGAACCCAGCACCCTGGGCAGGAAGCGACCACGTATGGAAGGAGGACTGGTGGGGTGGTTGCCAGTCCCTGGGAAGAAGTGAGCTCGGAGCTGCAATCGGCTCACCACGTAGCATCCCCCCCCCAATACTCTGACTTTTCACAGAGAAAAAGAGGCTTTGATCACTTGCTGCAAAAGCAGTTGGTTCTGATTTACCCATTTTTATGAAAAAATAGGGAGAGGGCTCACACATGGAAAGTATGACCTGGGAAGTGGCTGATGGGCATGGCTGGTTTGGATGTGGACCGTGGACGGAGCTCGGTAACCACGCGAGCTCTTGGGAATGAGCCCGTTCAACCGCCTGGCCACGCTGGGGCGGAGGATGCGCCTAGCCTACTGGATTGCCGTGCCGGATCAGACGGCCTCTCTGCTGCCCTGCGGACCTGCTGTCACAGGGTGAGCCCCTTCAGTGGGGCTGCCAGTGCCCCAGTGGGATGCTCCAGGGGCTGGCTGCTGGGCCCTGCATCGGGTGTGGCCTCTTCCCAGGGTCCACCTGAGCACCTGCCACCACCCCTGAGCGAGGTCAGCATGTATGAAGGTGTCTGCCTCCTGACCGTGGTGGCTGCACGGAGCTCATGGGCCCGAAGCCTTTGGCTGCGCGGATCTGAACACCTTGGAGCTTCAAGGGGGACCTTAAAGAGGGAGCTGAGTTAAGCATGGGGTCCTTGGGGTGGGGGGGCAGGGTGGGGAGGCAGGCATAGAGTGATGCATCAGGAAGGCAGCTGGATAACCCGGAGCCCCAAGGCCCCGGCTAGCTGCAGCCCCCTGTTCTGAACTCCCCACCAGTGGCTAAGGCATATGCTTGTCACTGGCGCTTGCTGAGGAAGGACTGGCCTCCCAGTGCTGCGTCCTGAGTGTGACAACCTGGTAAGGATCAATGCTGTCTTCTCAGCCACTAGGAAAGACTAATGTGCAGCAGCCAAAGGGCTTGTTCGCAAGCCTCACTGGTCTGTGACAGCTGCGGAGTCCACGTGCCTCGTGTGGCTTCATAGTCCTTCATCCTGAGACTTGAGTCAGGCTGGGCCGACCCTCAGGGCCCAGACCCGCGGTGTGGTTGGCAGTGGGCAGGTGCTGTGCTGTGTTCCCTCACCCTCTGCCTTGCCTGGTTGGAAGGTGGGCTTTGGGAGGGTGCCAACCCTCGTTTAGGCTGGGCTCTTCCTAGAAGGACCCTTGTCAGCGTCTAAGTCAGAGCTGAGTGTCCCGGATCACAGCCAGCACCCCTGCCCCCGGTAAGTCCAGGTCTTGTCGGCTGTCAGCCTGAAGAGGACCGCCACCCACTGGTTGGCCGAGGCCACCAAGGTTCACAGAGAGGTCTTAGGGCCCAGTGCAGGGCATGGGCTACGTCCCCGCGGGCCCTGCTATCCTCAGGCAGGGGCCTCAGCTCTGGTCTGGGTCACCCCCACAGCAGGGACTCTGGCTGCTGAGTCCAGCCTGGCCTGACCCTCAGCTTCTGCGGGAGCAGCCTGTGCCCTGGGGACCAGGGAACGAGCGAGAGTTCCTGCACGAGCAGCAGCGTTGGGCACAGAGGGAACCTCGCAGCCACGGCTCACACGTCCCAGTCTCGCCGCCTCTGCCTTCAGAAGGATGTGCTTTAAAAACCCGTTTTTTTATTCATCAACATAAATACCTGAGAGGACATGTGTAGCAGGCTGCGCCGTGCTCCTGGCCCCACCCTCAAAGGCAGCCTCTGCCAACGTTTGCTTGGCTTTCTCTCTGAGGTTTTCGATGGGTATGTCTGGGCATCTTTTTGCTTTCACTTTGACTTTCCCGCCACCATCCGTCTCCCTACCATCGCCCACTGGTCCCTTCTGTAGATGTAAACACTGGAGAGCCAACTGTCCCTGTGACGTTCATTGTCCCTCAGCCCAACGTCATGACAGGCGGCGCCTTCCACCGCGCTGTGACCACGAACAGCCTGACTCCGTGCCTCTGTGACCTGCTGCAGGGGTGACTGCCCGGGAAATCCTTGGGTCAAAGGCTGCGAGGGGTTGAAATGTTGACACGGACACTGACAAATATTCTCCGAAGGCTGCGGCCTCTGCACTTTGCCCACGGGGGAGCAGGTGCCGCCTTCCGGCACCTTCCCGATGCCCAGCACTGTGAAGCAGCTGTGCCTGCCCCTGGGGCAGGGTGGGCCAGCTCCCTGCTCGGCCCACGGGGCAGGGTGGGCCAGCTCTCTTCTGGGCTGCTGGGGCAGGGTGGGCCGGGCTCCGTGCCAGGTGGGCTCCTGTTGGGCTGTTCCCTTCACTTGGGTTTTCAAGCACGATGCAAAAAAAAAGGTACAATTTTGATTCATTCACACCAGATGGCTACTGTTGTGTTGACGGTTATCATTTTTTCATTGGAAAGTCTGAGGGAAAAGAGGTCAGGGCCCCTGACTTAAAAGTCAAAGTGTTGCCTGCTTTGAAAATTCTTGCAGCACGCGGGTTGAAAGTTCCTGCTTTAGAGCGTAATCATTTTGTAACTTCTAGATTTTTCTGCTTTCCTTACTGGTCCATTTAGGTTTTCTACTTCTTATTGAGTCATTTAAAAATAATTTCCCTGAAGATCTCTTCTTTTGTCAGAATTTTCAGTTAATAGGTGATTGCATGTCATCTTTTATAATTTAAACATGTCCTTCCTAGTCATTCTAATTGCCACTTTTCTCATTTCCAGTTTTATTCCTGCATGCCTTCCATTTCTCTAAAGTAGCTGTCCACAGTTTTGCTATCCTATAGGACTTCCCATTAGAGCTGTTTCCAATTTATTTCAGCTGTCATTTTCATTATTTTTTAACTTTTGCTTTCCTGAAGAGTTACTCCCACATCTTGATTTGAGTGTTTAATTTTTTTGGTGATTTTTAAAAAAGTAATTAAAGCACTTATGTTACTGATTTCATGCCAGATAGAGTTTTAAGTGTATTGATGTCTTACTATAGTGTTCTGATTTTCATTATTTCTCAGCAATAGTGTTTTCTTATTTTTATTTTTAATTTTTGATGTGATTGTTACTCAGGAGAATCCTTTTAATTTTATTTTTATTTTTTTATTTTAATCATTGTTCAAGTACAGTTTTCTCCCTTTTACTCCCAATCCAGCCCACCCACCCAACCCTCCCCACTTCCCTCCCATTACCACCCTCCCCCGTGGTTTTTGTCCATGTGTCCTTTAAATTTGTTCCCGTAAACCCTTCCCATTGTCCCCTGAAATTCCCTCTTCTCTCCCCTATGGTCACTGTCAGCCTGTCCTCTATTTAAGTGTCTTTGGTTATATTTTGCTTGTTTCTTTGTTTTGTTGTTTAGGTTCCTGTTAAAGGTGAGATCATATGGTATTTGTCTTTCACCGCCTGTCTTGTTTCACTTAGCATAATGCTTTCCAGCTCCATCCAAGCTGTTGTAAAGGGTAGGAGCTCCTTCTTTCTTTCTGCTGCATAGAATTCCATTGTGTAAATGTACCACAGTTTTGGGATCCATTCATTTACTGATGGGCATAGAATCCTTTTAATTTTGAGGGGACAGAGTTTTCTGTTGACTCTTGTTATTCCTTTATAGATTTATCATAATGTGGCTTAAAATTGTACCTGCATGTTGGACTTGACTGATGGTTAAATTAAAAAAAAATGTTTAACAGAAATTTGTTGAAGTCTTGGAAATAACAGGAGGGAATTACAATTTACTAATTAGAATTTAATGCAAAACCCAGACTCATCTGACCACAACAAAAGTCCCTCTGAAGCTGGTCATAGGTGTCACTCTTCCCCAGGTCCCCACCACTGGGACGGAACCCCCTTTCCGAGGACAGGGCTCCACTCGCCTCTGGGGAAGAACCCAGGACGGAGGGGTTTGATGTCTCATGCCAGTCCGTTCTTGGAAGGTGTCCGTCAGCAATTTCTGGCACATGCAGCTGACTGGGGCGGGAGGGGCGGAGGCCCTGAGGCCTCAGCCGGGGTTAGGGGTGCTGGCTGTGGGGCAGGCTGCGGGTGGGACTCGTCCTGATCACTTTCCTTCTATAGAACATGTTTTTGCGGGAAAGCATTGCTGGGGATAGATTAGTTGGTCTCTGAGTAGCCACATTTTAGGATTTAATTTTGTAATATAGCTCTTAAACTATTTTTTAAAAATATATACATTTGAGCCCTGTCCTGCGTAGCTCAGTGGATTGAGCGCGGGCTGTGAACCAAAGTGTCACAGGTTCGATTCCCAGTCAGGGCACATGCCTGGGTTGCAGGCCACGGCACCCAGCAACCACATACTGATGTCTCTCTCTCTCTCCCTCTCTCTCTTCCTCTCTTCCCTCTCTAAAAATACATACATATATACATACATACATACATAAAAACATAAAAAATATATATACATTTGCTTTATTACTAGAAGAAAGGTGACACAGGAGTAGATGACCTAGGACTAGAAATGCATTTTATAAATCACAAAAGAACAGTAGGTTCTGTATGATAAGAGTTACCATAAAAAGGGTTAAAATGTCACCAAGGCACCCACTGGAAGAACACATTTTATCAATAAGCAATTGGGATGCGGAATACAAAAGTAATGCTACCGATAATTTAAAATGGCTACCCAACCAAAAAAAAATGAGCAAAGAAGACACATAGATAATATACAGAATGGAACCCTGACAGGCCCATGGATACATGAGATGTTCAGCGTCACCAGGGATGAGGGAAAAGCTATGTGTCATCGTCAGCTTGGCCTGCACATACCAAGGAGTGATGAGGGGTGGGACCAGAAGCTGCTGGTGCACGCCGAACTGCCATTGCTGTTGGAGAAAACAAAGTTAAACGCACACACCTGAGCCCTGCTGGAGACAACAGAAGTACTCTGGGAGCAAGGAGGTGGGTCAAGGGATGCTCGTCACAGCTTTGCTTTTACAAGAAAACCTGGAAACAGCCCCACGTGCAGTAGGGCGCTTGGGTAAAAAAGTTCACCGTGCCCAAGTGTGTACATATCCACACGTGCAGGAAGTGGTTAGATGAACCAGGGAGCTACCCAGTGACTCAACGTAGATAAATCTCAATGAGGATAATGCTGCAGCAATAGGTATGTTGCAGAATAAAACAGGCGTAGGTTGATACCATTTACGTGAAATTTCAAAAGCAGTCAAGGTCACTCTGCATTGGGTGTGAATGCACAGGTGGGTAGAAGCTACGGAGGCACCCTTGCTTACCACGCCCGTAAACTTGAGGCTGGTGGCTTCCTTGGACAGGGGTGGGGCCCACAGTCATCGCACCCACATCCTTCACCTTCTCCAGAGGGGAGGGCTCTGAAGATGGGGATTGCGAGCAGGTCTCAGAGCTTGGGGTGGGGCGTGGGAGTGTTCTTAGAGTGTCCTCTACACTTTCGGGGATGTTTTAGGAACATCAGCCTGACCTCTCCTCCCCTTCCTCCTTGTTTCAGTTCCAGAAATTGGAAGGTTCACCAGCGTTCCCGATGTGCCCTCCCAGCTGCAGACACCCTCCCTAGAGGATCTGCTCTGCTCGCACGTGCCCCTCTCCAATGAGGACGATGCTTCCCCAGGCTGCGCGACCACCTCCCAGGTGCCCTTCAAGGCTTTCCTCAGCACCCCGGAGCTGCACACACCTCGTAACACCGACAGGAAGCTCTGCCCACTCCTGAGCCCACTGCAGGACCCCCTGATGGACAAGACCCTGCTGGAGTCCAGGGAGATGGTGCGGCCCAAGAAGGTGTGCTTCTCAGAGAGCAGCCTGCCCTCAGGGGACAGGACCAGGAGGAGCTACTACCTTAATGGTATGGGGGGCGGGGTACCAGGCGGGCACTTGGTGCAGTGGCTAGCAGTTGGGTAGGGAAGCTCTGGGCGGACAGTTGGGCACAGCTTCTCCATCCATTTAGCACAGGGGGAGAGTGTGGCTGGGAGACCAGGGTCAAGGGCTGCTGTATCTGTTCACATTTTTTGCCCATTTAAAGAAAACTGAGTTGCTTTTCTTATTGTGCTGTAAGAGTTCTTCATATAGTCTGGATACATGTCCTTTTCTGGGTGTACGTGTTGCAGATATGGTCTCCCAGTTTGTAGCTTTTCCACTTTTATAACTGTCTTTTGAAGAGCAAAACAATTTAATGTGGTGAAGTCTGGTTTATTGACTGTTTTTCTGTCACATACTTCACACTTTCTGCGTCCTGTTTAAGAAGTCTCTGCCAAACTCAAGAATGTAAATATTTTCTCTGATATGTTCTTCTAGAAAGTTTGTAGCTTTAGGTTTTACATTCAGATTCCTGGTCAATTTAAAGCTAATGTTTGGTTATGGTGCGAGGTTTGCATTAGATATCTACTTCTTGCAGCATTTACAGAGATGACCTTTTCCCCATTGAATTGACTTGACATTTTTTTGTCAAAAATCAATTGTCCATATATGTATTAAGTCTATTTCTTGATTCTTCAGTTTGTTCTATTTTTCTGTGTCTATGTTGACTCTAACACATACCGAGTGAAGCAGATTGCTCTCCGTAATGTGGGTGGCCCTTATCTAATCAGACAAGAGCCCGAATAGGACAAGAACGCTGAGTCCTCCCAAGGAAGAGAGACTCCTTCCTGCCTTTGGACTCCCACGGAAGCCTCTCGGGTCTCTTGCCTGCTGCTCTGGACTGGAGCCACGTCGTCGGTCCCCGTGGTTCTCAGACCTCCGCACTCAGGCCAGAGCTGTGTTCACCAGTCCTCCTGGGCCGCCAGCTTACTGACTTGCCCTTCGGGTCTTAGTACTTGTCAGTCTCCATAATCACGTGAGCCTTCGTTGTCTGGAACAAACACACACATGCGCACACACGTACGGGTTCTGGTTCTGTTTCCCTGACAAGTGCAACCTTGTGTCCCGAAACCTTACTGAACTCAGTGATCTGGCAGCTTTAAAAAAAGATTCCTCAGGATGGATGATCATGTCGATTGTGAATGAAGACAAGGTTATTTTTTCATTTCTAATCTGTGTGCCTTCCCCCCACCCCATCTTATTGCATTGGCTGGAACCCCTGGAATAATGTTGCACAGAAATTGTAACAGTGGGCAGTTTTTCTTTCCTTGATTTAGGGGAGAGCATGCAGTCTGTCACCATTAAGTATGATGTTAGCTAGGGTTCTTGTGTGTGCCTTCATCAGGCTGAAGGACTGCCCTTCATTTTTCAGTTTGCCTAGAGTTTTATCATAAACGGATGTTGGCCTTTTTTCCTGCATCTGTTGAGATGAGCATCTGGTTTTCATTTGTAGTCTGTTGATACAGTAACTTACAAGGATGAATTTTAAAACCACCTTTGCATTCCTGAGATAAATCCCACTTGATCATGATGTATTATACTTTTCTGTATTGCTGGATTCAATTTGCTAAATGCGTCTTAAGAATTTTTGCTCTCTGTGAGAGATATTGGTCTATAGTTTCCTTTTTTAAAAAAGATTTTATTTATTTATTTTGAGAGAGAGGGGAAGGGAGGGAGAAAGAGAGGGAGAGAAAGGTCCATGCGTGGCTGCCTCTTGTGCGCCCCCTACTGGGGACCTGGCCCTCAACCCAGGCATGTGCCCTGACTCGGAATTGAACCAGTGACCCTTGGTTCGCAGGCTGGTGCTCAGTCCACTGAGCCACACCAGACAAGGCTATAGTTTCCTTGTAATGTCATTTTCTGGTTTTGATGTGAGATTAATGTTGGCCTCAATGAACGAGGTAGAAAGTGTTAAATCTTCTTTAATTAGCCAGAAGAGTTTGTCTAGAATTGGTATTATTTATTTTTTAGATGTTTGGTACAATTTTCTAAGCCTTGAATTCTCTTTGTGGGAATACTTCCCTTCTGCACATTCAGTTTCCTCAGTTCATACAAGGCTGTTCCAATGATCTGTTTCTTTTTAAAGTAAGCTTTGGTAGTTCAAGTACAAAAATAAACTTTTGTGTCTTTTAATGAATCGGTTCATTTCATTTAAGTTGTCAAATGCATTGGCATAAAGTTATTCCTAATATTCTGTTATTATCCTTTTAATGCCTGTAGGATCTGTGGTGATGCCATCTCTAATTTCTGATGGTGGTAATTTTTGTCTTCTTTTTTTTCTGTAGTAAAGGATGTTCATCAATTTTATTGTCTTGTTTTCTTCGAAGAACAGGTTTTGGGCTAGACCCTGGGAGGCCTGGGCTGGACTACAGATGGTTTCTAAAGTATCTCAGGGACAGCTTGTTTTTTCCGCCTGATTCATGCTTCAGAGAGAAAGGAGGTAGGGAGAGAGACCGATTCCCAACGAGGGGAGTGTACTGACAGAGAAGGGGGGCATTGTATCCGGCGCTTCTACCCCTCATCCCGCCCTAACCTACTCCTGTGCAGTGGGTCTGGTTCTCAGCTTTAATTCCTTCTGCAGCCTTGCAACGTGAGTAGGGAAGGAGCACACTGAAAACCACAAAACGCTGTGGGAAGAAAGGAAAGAAGAGCTAAATGAATGGGAAAACATCCTGTGTTCATGGATTGGAAGACAATATCATTCAGAGGGAAAACCTTCCCAAACCGATCCACGCATTTCGATGCAATCCCTACCAAAGTCCCAGCTGGCTTCTTGGCAGAAATGAACAAGCTGAACCCAAAATTCCTATGGAAATGCAAGGGGCCCAGAATAGGCAAAACAATTTCAAAAAAGGAGAGCAAAATGGGAGGGCTCACACACACCAGTTTCAAAATTTACTGTACAGTCACAGTAATCAAGACAGTGTGGCAGTCCTTAGGATATGTACACAGGCCAGTGGATAGAACTGAGGGTCCAGAAATGAACCCACGTATTTAGGGGCTTGATGTCTGACAAGGGCGCCAGCACAGTTCAATGCAGAGAGAGTGGTCCTTTCCGCCCGTGGTGCTGGGACAACTGGGTGTCCACATCCACACATGAAAATGAACTCGAAGTGTTCAAGGACTTAAAAGACAGAGCTAAACCCATAAAACTCTTAAAACAGAGATGAATCCTATGATCCCAAAGTTGGCAATAGATTCTGAGATATGACATCAAAAGCATGAACAACAAAAGAAGAAACAGGTACACTGGACTTTTTAAAAAAGAACTTTACTGTTTCAAAGGAACACATTTCAAGAAAGTAAAAATTCGACCTACAGAATGGGAGAACATATCTGTAAATCATGTATCTGACAAGGGAATAATACCCAGATTATCTAAGGACTTTAGCAACTCAACAGTAAAAGGACTAACAATCTAATTAAAAATGGGCAAAGAGAGCCGGCCAGTTCCTGGATGCAGGAGGATGTAGCTGTGGCGGACCCCCAGCTGCAGCTGGTGGCACAGCGCATCTGCAGCTTCCCCGACTTTCCCGTCTCAGGCGTGCTGTTCGGGGGCACCTTGGCCCTCCTGAAGGACCCGGCCCCTTGCACTTCCATCAGCCCACTGACGAGCCATCTGAAGAAGTCCCGCAGCAGCAAGATTGACGACATCGTGGGCCTAAACTCTTGAGGCTTTCTGTTCGGCCCCTCCCAGGCCCAGGAACTTGGTTTGGGCTGTGTGCTCATCCGAAAGGGAGGAGACCTACCTGGCCTCACAGCGTCCACCTTCTGTGCGCTGGAACATGGGAAGGCTGACCCAGAAACCCAGAGAGACACCCTGGAGCCAGGGCAGAAGGTGACAGTTGTGGACGACCTGCGGGCGGAGCTGTGCGTGTAGCCCGTGGGCTGCTGGGCCAGGTGCGGGCAGAGGTGCTGGAATGCATGAGCTTGGTGGAGCTGACCTTGCTGAAGGGCAGGGAGAAGCTGGGGGCTGTGCCCTTCCTCACCCTCCTGCAGTGTGATTGACCTCAGCGCCCTCCCCCACGCCAAGTAGAAAATGGAGAGGGCCCGCCTCCTTGGCTACAGTGGCCTCTCCTGGCTGGCAGCGGGCACGTGCTGCCCACCTGGACTTTTTTTTTTTTTCAATGTCTGTTTCTGTGGTGAGTGACTTTATCCAGCACCCAGGGACCTTCCTGCAGGTTCTGAACGTGTGAAGGCCCGGAGCCAGTAGCCCAGGGCAGAGCCAAGCACCAGCTGCTCAGGCTCACTTACAGTGAAATGAGAACATGAACGTAAAAAAATGAGCAAAGAACTTTAGTAGACATTTCCCCAGAGAAGATACACACACGGCCAATAAGCACGTGAAAAGATGCTCCATATCATTAGCTGCCAGTAAAATGCAACTGAAAACCACAATGAAATGCCACTTCATGTCCACATAGATGGCTAGAAGGAAAAAGATGGACAATGACAGCTGTGGCAGAGGGTGCGGAGAAATTGCGCCCACTGTGGAGAACAGTCTGGCGGTTCCTCTGGAAGTTAAACGTGCCGTGCCCGTGGGCCCCAGCAGTTCCGTTCCTGGGTGTACGCCAAAACAGCTGGAAACATTTGTCCACGCAAACGTTTTTATATGGATGTTCACAGGAGCATTGTTCACAGTAACCAACAAGCGAGAACAGCCCAAATCCCTGTCCATCTAGTGGAACATGAATCAGCTGTAATTAGGAGTGAAGTTCTGGAGCACACTATGGCATGGATGGACCTCAGAACGTCCTGCCAAATGGAAGCTAGACACAAAAGGCCACAGGCTATGCGATCCCATTCATATGAGATGGCCAGAATGGGCAAATTTATAGGGACAGACAGCAGGGGTGTGTGTGTGTGTGTGTGTGTGTGTGTAGAATTGTGAGTGACTGTTAAGGGGTGTAGGGTTTTGGTGATGACAATGCTTTGGAAGTAGATTGTGGTGATGGTTGTACAACTCTGCGAATACAGGAAAAACCACAGAATTGCATACTTTAAAAGAGTGGATTTTATAGTACGTGAATTATATCTCAGTAAACACCATTAATGTGACTGGGGAGGCAGTGGGTCCCGGGGCTCAGTTCCTTCAGCTGTAAGCAGGGTCAGCAGCCCCGGGAAGGGTCACTGTGAGGGCAAATGGGGTCAAGGACAGCTCCAGTGCAGGGCTGCGCCAAACCTCAAGAGGTACGGGTGGAACCTTAGCAGGACCTCCCTCCCTGATTCAACTCTGAGGCCCAAAGCTTTGCCGGGAGCTGCTCCAGCTGCCCAAGTGGCCACAAGACCACTTTCTGGACACCCTCACCCAGAGTTTCTCCTGGGCCCTGGGAACCTGGCCTCTGCCCCACATCCCTCCTTCCTCATCCTGTGACCTTGCAACCCTCTGCCCAAACCCCCCAGCCCTCGTGTAGCTCTGGGTCCTATGGCTCAGGAGGGGCCTTCTGCCTGGGTCAGCCACTCCTCTGTGGCCCCTCCCTTCCCGCACCCCCACTTGCAGAGCCCACCTCCCCTGAGGCCTGGAGTGTCCCCAGTGTGCCTCCCCATTCAGCCCCTGTGAGCAGGACAGGGGCCGCCTACCCAGAAAGGAAGAGGCCACCAACACCTGGGCTTGATTCGCCCGTGCCAACCAGTGGCCCAGTTCCTGTGTGAGAGTCACTGGGTGGGGTCCTGGGACGAGCGGTTCCACGGACACAGGATGGAGCCACGGGAGGGTGAACAACTGCCGAGGTCGCAGGCAGAGCTGTGACCCGGCCACTGAGGCCACACAGATTCCTGTGCTCCCCTTGGGCTGGTCTTGTAGTGGCCTAGCAACCCCTCAAAGGCCACAGAGCCAGTGAGGGCAGGGGGCCAGCTGACCTCTTTGCATGGTGTCGGGGGCAGAGCCTCTGGTGGGCACAGGCATCCGCAACAGGACCCGGGGCTGGCTGTCCACAGCACAACACCTGGCCCGTGTGCCCACTGCCGACCACTGGGCTGACCCAGAGGGGCTGCACGCAGTCGACACCCTGGGAAGGAAGGGCTCTGGGGTTTTAGAAGCGGGTGTGTTGTAAGCATCTCCTGTAGGGATGGATGAGCAGAACCTGGAGAGTCTGTGCCCACAGGTTGGGAGGGGGGCTGGCCAGGCATCCACTCCCCGCCGTGCGGCCTTCGGGCTCCGGGTGTCTGACCAAGTTTCAGGCCGCCTTTCCTCCCTTTGCGTCTTTCGGATTCGGAGGCATCTCAGTTTCCGTCAGTCGTCATTGGCGGAGTGTGTTCAAAGAGCACGCCCGCCGGTCTGAGGGGTGTTGACACGCACCACGTTGTGTGATGGCGACTAGTGACCTTGGGGCTGCAGTGGAGACTTGGAGGGGAAGGGTGGTAGATGTGACTGGTAATATCCGGGAAGCTATTAAAACTAGAATCCCCTGCCAACACAGCCATCCTCTGCACACACATAGGAAAGGAGTCTTGCTATCGAATGAACATTGAACCAGTCTGCGAGGCCCTGAGGTTGCTAAGACGGACAGAACCTCCCCTTCCACCAGCCGGGCAGACAGGGTCCTTCACGTGTCACAGACGTGCTCTCATGTCAACCGGTACCCCGCCCTCAGGGCATGGGAGACCCAGATGTGAGCCTTCACCTGGTCATAAGGCTGGGGGCTCCCTTGACCCAGGGCAAGCTGGCAGACCCCCTGGTGATGGGGGAACGGGGACACGAAAAACAATCCTGGGCTGTGAAACAGGCTTTTACACATTTCTGTCCATATCAAAGGGAGGAACGAAGCAAGGACTGAGCATCCCAGGTTTCCCAGGGAACGTGTTAAGAAAAGGGAAGAGAGGAAGGGTCCTTCCCCTTTTTGGCAATAGAAAATTCAGTTTTCCTTTAAATTAGTATTTGCCCTCACAGGAGGGCAAATCCTGGAGGATGGTGCCCCCCCACCATGATCAAGACCAGGGTGCTTGGGGAGCCCCCACCAGAGGCCCCCCAGACTTCACCAGGAACCCACAGAAGCCACTTTCAAATCGGTTCTTTGCCTACAGTGGACTCTGGTGCCCAGGCAGGAGGAAGGCGGGCGGCCCTGGACCTTTCATGTGGGGGGCCCCAGCCTGTCTCACCGTCCTCCCCACATCCCCTCACAGAGATTCAGAGCTTCACCAGCGCCGAGAAGGATGGGCGCATCGTTGGGGAGATTGCCTTCCAGCTAGACCGGCGCATCCTGGCCTACGTCTTCCCCGGGGTGACGCGGCTGTACGGCTTTACTGTGTCCAACATCCCGGAGAAGATCAAGCAGGTGTGCCTTCCTGCCCCATGGGGGTCCCCTCCCTGCCCCAGGGTCCCCTTTATACCCTGGGACGGGAGGCTGAGTGGCCCACTGCCCTTTCACCTGTGGTACCCACGCAGCTGTAGCTGGGCAAGGCTGAGAGGTGTCCGAGGCCCATGTACCACGGGGTGTGCTGGGCTCCTGCCATGAGTACCTCTGCTCTGTGGCCTGGAACAGCCTCAGGAGTGGTTCCTGGGGCCACGGAGCATGTTGGCTTTCTCCTCATCAGGGACGGGGCCTGCTCTGGTCCCTGACACCCGCAGCTGGAGGGGTGAGCTGGGCAGCTCACTCACCACGGTGGGGGGCTTGGCTCTGAGCCTGGTTCCCCATCTACGAAGCTTCCTTCATAGAAATCTGGTCACTGTCCCTACCCTGGCTTTCCGTGGTGGGTTCTGTGGCTCCTGTGGCTGGGCCCCACCTGCCCCTGTGCCGTGTCCCCAGACATCCATCAAGTCCCTGGATGGCTCGGTGGATGAGAAGAAGATGCGGGAGCTGACGCACCGCTACCTGACGCTGATGGCGCGCCTGGAGAAGCTGGGCTACAATCGCGACGTGCACCCCGTGTTCAGCGAGTTCCTCATCAACACCTACGGCATCCTGAAGCAGCGGCCCGACCTGCGCTCGAACCCGCTGCACAGCAGCCCGGCCGCCCTGCGCAAGCTGGTCATTGACATCGTGCCCCCCAAGTTCCTGGGCGACTCGCTGCTGCTGCTCAACTGCCTGTGCGAGCTCTCCAAGGAGGACAGCAAGCCACTCTTCGCCTGGTGAGCCCGCGCCCCAGCACCCGCCACGCCTTTCCTGCAATAAACGTGTTTGTTCCAAACCCGGGGGCAGCCGTGCCTCCTGCGCGTCCCCTCCAGCTGGGGGAAGGGCCGCGTCCGCCAAGGGAGTGCCCAGGGCCACAGGCAGGAGCGCTGTGCCAGAGCAGGCGCCCTCATGGACCGGCCGGGCGCACCCGGCGTCCACAGCCCCGCCAGCTGCCCACACCTGCGTGGCACTTGTCACACTTTATTAAATACATCTGTTTACTTGTTTACCTTTACCTTTGGCTCTTTGAGGGCGTGGAGAGCGTCTTGGTCACCCCTGGGGACACAGGAAATGCCCCTGGTATTTGGAGAAGGAGGCCTGGACACAGTCCCCAGGGGAAAGGCAGGGCCCCAGCCCCAAACCAGGGACTGCAAGAACCTTCCCCTCAAAAAGGCCAGAGGGTCCTGTCACAAAAGCAGTGTCTGAGGCAAGGGGTCAGGGGCGGGCAGGATGGCTGCAGAATCTTCGGGGCCCTGTGCAAAATGAAACCACAAGCTCCTAGTTCAAAATTCGGAATTTCGAGATGGCTATCTTGGAGAGTGAACCCAGGAGTGGGTGGGTCGTGCGACTGTGTGGCTGGTCGCCCGTGAAGCTGGCCCAGGGCCGTCAGTTTATCTGGGGGATAGTTCAGGGAAGCAGGGGCCTCCCATGGAAGCCAGGTGAGCCCCTGGTGTGCCCAGAGGCTCACCGGGCCTGTCTCCTGCCTGGGTCTGGAATGGGCGTGCTGACCCTTTCATCGGAGATGGTGACAGAAACCAGGGTGTGGGTGCCAGGTGAGATCACTTTTCCCTATAAACAGTGGAGCTTTCTGGAGTCCCCTATTCAGGGACAGTGTATAGCACCTACTAGAATGTTCACTGTCTCACAGCCCGGCATCACACCGGGTCCAGTCCCTGCATCTTGGGTCCCCACCATGGCCAAGCCCTGGCGCGGGACTTTCCGCAGGAAATGCACTGCAGCTCCTGCTGGAGCCCTCCGGGCCGTCTCTCCTGCGGGCCACGGCAGCGGGGGGGACCTCCTGGGCCCTGAGGTCAGGCCCAGGGCCTGGCGTCGCCTCCTTTCTGGGGTTTAGCTTCAAGTGCAGCGTCTCCGGTCACTTCTTTGTTGTGGGGGCTGGGACGAGGGTGTTGGGGTTTCAGGGCCAACCCGAGTGTGGGGTAGCCTGTCCCTTGGTGCTCACCGCCTGGTGGTGCTGGATGCCCAGGACCCCTTGAGCCCCTGTCTTGGTCAATTTGGGTCACAACAAACACCACAGACCAAGTGGCTGAAATGACAGACACTCCTTGTCTCACAGTTCCGGAGGCTGTGCAGCCGAGGTCGGGGTGTCGCTGGGCTGGTTCCTCCTGGGACCTCTGGCCTTGGCCTGTAGACACGGTTGCCTCCTGTGCCTCCACATGGCTGTCCCTCTGTGTGTCTGTGTTCTGCTCTCCTCCTCTTCTTGTTTTTCCTCTTCTGAGGACACGTTCATTGATTTGAGAGGGAGAGAGAGATGGGCCCCAATTGAACCCACAACCTAGGTATGTGCCCTGACTGGGGATTGAACCCGCAACCTTTTGGAGATGTAGGAGATGACACTCTAACCAACTGAGCCACCTGTTCAGGGCATTTCCTCTTCTTACAGGGACACCCATCTTGTCTGATTAGGGCCCACCCTTGTAGCTTCATTTAACCTAATTACCTCTGGAATGACCTCTCCCTCAGAATAGTCCCCTCAGGGGTTAAGGCTTCAGTGTGTGAATTTGAGGGTCACAGTTCATTCCATAATAGACCAGGATCCTTCCCTCCCAGCCGCCAGGCACCGGCCTCTGGCTGAGGGGCTCCTGCCTCTTGGGGGTTTCTGTGGGTACACGATGCAGCACCAGGGGCCTCCACTGGAAGAGGTGCTGGCGGGCACTTCCGGGCACCCCCGGGCTGCAGGCTGTCTCCAGGTGAGGCCTGGTGTCAGGGTGAGTTTGGAGAGCCGCCATTGCTGGGCCTTTGGCATTTGCCGGGTGTTGCTGAGGCTTCCACAGTCCCTCTGGGGGCCTGAAGATAGTACAGTGGGCACCCTCAGTCACCCACAGTCAGCCAGCGGAGCCATGGCTGGAGAGGGCCTGGCTAGTCCTCAGCCTCTGAGGGTCTCCGGGTTCACCTGTCTGCTCTGGGTGGTGGGGCCTCTTCTCCTCTGAGTACCCCTGAGTCGAACAGCTAAGAATCTGAAGATCTGAACATCTGGGCACCTCCTCGCCCTAGCCCCATGGAGACTGCCGAGGGGTGAAGTAGCCCCAGGCACTGACCGCCCTAAAGGCTGTGTGGGGTACCTGTGCCTGGGAGAAGGACAGATGGGGTGCAGCCTGCTCTTGGGAGGGGACTGTGGGGTGGCCACCAGATTGGTGGGTCTTTGCAGAATGAAATGCCCACCTTGATTAAAGATCATCAAAAATTTTGCCTGGCCGGTGTAGCTCAGTAGATTGAGCACAGTCCTGCGAACCAAAGGGTCACTGGTTCCATTCTTCGTTGGGGCACATGCCTGGGTTGTGGGCCAGGCCTCAGTAGGGGCCGTGCAAGAGGCAACCACACGTTGATGTTTCTCTCCCTCTCTTTCTCCCTCCCTCCCCCTCTCTCTAAAAATAAATAAATAAAACCTTAAAAAAGCAAAGATCATCAAGAATTTTAAGACAGCATTGACCTGAGTGGAGCCCTCCGAGCACAGGGCCTTGTGCTGCTGGCGGGGGTGCGTTGCCCCTTTGAGGGAGCCCCCGGCCTTGGGGAGCAGCGGCCGCAGCTGGGGAGAGCCGCCCCGGGCTTGGCCTGCCTGCCCCGCCAGGGCTCCCACGCCCCTGCACACACTCGCTGCCCTCCCACTCCCCTGCCGGGCCGGGCTGCGCTGGTCTCTGCCTGGAGCCAGGCCAGGTCTGCAGTCTCACAGTTCCCTTCTTGTCCCTTGGACGCCCTGATGCCCTGAGACTCGGGTGCGTGCATGAAGAAACGGAGGCCCAGCGGGCCACCTGGAGGGTCCTGAGGGAGGTCACACAGAGGGCCAGCTCTGGCCACAGCCTGGTAAAGAGTGGAGTCTCAGCTGACCTGGGGTCGCAGTCTGGCGAGGGCTTTTCCCCCTGCTGAGGGTCCTGGTCACAGGCGCTTCTTTCAGGGGTTCCCATGCTGGACAGAGTGATCCCCCCTCCTCCTCAGAGTCGCTGTGGATCCTGGTGCTGCCCCGCCCCGACCTCTGGGTGTTTGCCCAGGGGCCAGCCTGCCCCTGTCCCCTCGCCGTGGCTGGTGGTTAATGAGCAGCCCGGCGGGGAGTGTGCAGGCCCTGCAGGACGCGGAGAGCCCCGTGCGTCCTGCCCTCCTGCCTCACGCGAGCAGCGTCCCGACCGAGGCTCAAGGCCCCAACCATGTCTCGCCTGGTGGAATGCGTCCCCAACTTCTCGGAGGGGAACAACCAGGAGGTGAGGGGCCAGTGTGGGGGGCGGAGGGAGGGTGGGCAGGCTGGGGGCAGCGCAAGCGGCTCAGGTGTGGCGTTGGGGCTATCTTCTCTCGAAAGGGACCACTCCCTATCACCACAGTGACAGGCACGCCCGTGAGTGTGGGAAACTGAAGTGACCAGCCTGGGCAGTCAGGCAGGGGGCCTGACCCCAGGTTTGGACAAATCACTGGGCCTCTTGTGAAAATGGGGCCCCCGCTTCCCACCCACAGGGCTGTTTGAGGGTCCTCATCACGGTTCCTCCGTCGTCCCCTTCCCACAGCTTATTGGGTGGAGCTCGGTCGTTATCCTCACAGCACCTACGAGGGAGCTGAGGCGCGGAGATTGTAGGCCGGCTACTGCGGGCCCCGGAGCAGTTTGCACACTGAGCCCCTGCTCCTGACCCCTGGGCATTTCTGTCACCTCAGAAGGTTCTGGGCCTTTCATGCCCACCCCCGCCCCCAACACAGCTGTTCCCCTGGAGCCCTGACCTCTGTGACCTGGGCCTATCGGTCCCCTTCTTGGAGCCCAGGCAGCTCCTCTGCCTGTTCTGCTTTCTGCCTCAGTTTCTCCTGGAGGGTGCCGCTCATTGCCCCCTCCTTGGCAACCATAGCTGGCTGTGGGTCTCCCCGGCTCCTGCTCTTTCGGGAATTCCCCAGTGCTCAGTGCCAGCTTGCTAGGAACACCTTTGGGTGGGCGGGGGACAGGAGAGAGACAGCCACCTCTGAAGCTCCCATTCCTTCTTCCAAGTGGGGAAACCGAGGCGTGGGCCGGGCTCTCACCCCCAGGTGATCGACGCCATCTCCCAAGCTGTGGCTCAGACCCCGGGCTGCGTGCTGCTGGACGTGGACGCCGGCCCCTCGACCAACCGCACCGTCTACACCTTCGTGGGGTCTCCCGAGGATGTGGTGGAGGGGGCCCTCAACGCCGCCCGGGCTGCCTTCCGGCTCATTGACATGAGCAAGCACAAAGGTGAGGGGCCATCTCACCCACAGGGCACGGCCTGGGGTCTGGGGGCTTGTCCTGGGAGGACCCCTGCAGCCCCTGAGGGGTCTCGGATACAGCCCATGGAACCCGCTTGGCCAGGTGGAGGTGCCTGGTGACTCGGGGCACTGAGGCTCGGGCGCTGTGAGCGTCCCTGAGGCAGGGGGTGGAGGGCCAGGGGAAGCTGGCCCTGCTGGAAACCAACCTGCCAACAGCCTGCAAAGCCAAACACATCGGGGCGGCAAGCAGGGTCCAAGGTCTCTGGCCGCTCATGGGGGAGGCCAGGCCCACAGGCAGGGAGTTTGCAAGTGACCACAACTGGAGAGGAGATGGGGGCACATCTCCAAGAGTGAGGGGCTGCCTGGGGGATGGAGAGGAGTGCCGGGGAGCGGGGTGAGGTTCACCATCTCGAAGGGGCGCTGCTGGCCGGCAGCAGGGGCTCGGCATGGACTCCCGGCTGTCGGGGAGGGAGGACTGGACGGCCAGTGCTGGGCCAGGAAGCCTTCCAGCTTGGCCAGGACCCCGGGAGAGCATTGGCAGCGCCTCTGTGTTTTTTCTCTGTGGTTTTAAGGAGAGGGAGGGACTTACACTGTTAACCTGGAAGTAAAAGGGCAAAGTGAGAAACACCACTTATTTGAGATCAAAGAATAGCCACTCAGGCCCTGGCCAGGTTGAAGTGCTGCCCCCCGCCCCCCCCCCCCCCCAAAGGGTTGTGTTTGATCCCCGTGGGACTGGTCTGGGAGGTGACTGATTGAGGTTTCTCGAATCAGCGAATCAGCGATTCTTTCTCTCTCTTCTCTCTCAAACCAATAAACATATCCTTGAGTGAGGATTAAAAAAAAAAAAAAGACTAGCAACTCAGGAGGCGCTGGCTCAGGCAGAAGCCCAGACGGTGTTCTGATTAGGAGACACAGACAGAGGGCATCTGTGAGAAGGGGAGGGGAACTGCTTCACCAATAAAAGGAAGTCAGTTCTGTTGTGCAGATCACACAGCGACACTGATTCTAAAGAATGTCTCAGTCCCGTAGTCCTAGTATCTGCTTTCTATTATCCTTGCAAACAGTTCTCCGGGGCGCAGGGCTGCTTTGGGCCCAGTTCACAAGTTATGTTGCCCTGTTTTAACCTTCCCAGTGTGCAAGGCAGTTCCTCTGGGGGTCAGCTCGGGCTGCATTTTGAAATGGCTCCATTTATGTTATTTTTGACACAACACAGGTGCCAAAACCCCGGGGGCCTACTTCTCCCGGGGTCCCTGCGGTCGGTCGGTGTGAACAGCTGGGAGTGTGGACGGTGGGGCAGATGGGGGCCTGAGGGGTGCCCCTGCCCAGGCCCACCCAGGGCCTCCTGGCGCTCAGCCCCCATCCCTCCGCAGGAGAGCACCCTCGGATGGGCGCCCTGGATGTGTGTCCCTTCATCCCGGTGAGGGGCGTCGGCATGGCCGAGTGTGTGCTCTGTGCCCAGGCCTTCGGCCAGCGGCTGGCAGAGGAGCTGAACGTGCCAGGTGAGTGGCCCCTGAGGAGGGGCACCCCGATCCCAGGGGCTCCCCCAACCAGCCCCTCTTCACTTTCAGTTTCCATCAGCATCTCTCTCGCCCTTCTCTGCTTGGGACTCCTTAAAAATGCAGATTATTGAAACAAAACAAAACAAAAACCCGTGCCACTAGCGAATGGACAGAAAAGAATATTTCTGCTTCTTCCATAAGGAGATACAAGTGTTGGGTGCCCCAGCCTCTGGGAGGCCCTGGGGTCTCCTGCACTGAGGTGCGGCCGGGGGTGTGGAGCAGAGCAGCCAGTTTGTGATGTAATTTAGCAAGATGAGTGGGTAGCCCCATCAGTCCGTGCGTCCTAATGGAATCATCTCGCTTTGGAGGATGATTAACCGAGAACATGACTGGGAGAGAGGGGCAAATTGGAAACAATGTGTGTGGTGGATGGGGCACGTGAGCTCGGGGGCATACCCCCTGCCCCATGCAGATTTGGGGGGTAGCACACACCTGTTGCTATGCTTGTGCGGGCGTTGGGAGTCTGCGGGGAGTTTCCTCAACTTGTGGTCCTATTCACTGTACAGTGAAAATATACTTTAGAAAGAACTATGGGCGCCCTCGCAGTAGCATGCCCTCATTCTCCTGGTCAGCCGATGGCTTTTGCAGGGACACCTGTATAGGGGGAGCAGAAGGGTGGGGCCTGCCCTGTCCCTGGTGGGCAGAGGAGCCGTCCTAGCCCATGCCGAGTGTCCGCCAGTGAGCACCCACAGAGAAAGGGCACTCCTGGAGAGGCAGGAGCCGAGGCTGGCGAGCTCAGCCTGCCTCGGTTCTCCTCTGGGAATGGGGGTCTGGAGTGCCCACCTGCCAGCTCCTGACCAGCGGGCCCCCCTTGCAGTGTACCTCTACGGTGAGGCAGCACAGGTGGCCAGTCGCCGGACCCTGCCGGACATCCGGGCAGGGGAGTACGAGGCCCTGCCTGAAAAGGTGTCGTGTTCTCCTGAGGGCGGGCGGGTTTGGGGTGAACCCTGCAGGGGTATGTACCCTCTTCCTTCCCCCTCCCCTAACCCCAGCGGGGCGTCCCTTCCATGGAGTGCAACACCCCAGGGTGAGTCTTTCCACAGCTTAAGCAGGCCGAGTGGGCGCCCGACTTTGGCCCCAGCACCTTTGTCCCCAGCTGGGGGGCCACTGCCACAGGGGCACGGAAGTTCCTCCTCGCCTTCAACATCAACCTGCTCAGCACCAAGGAGCAGGCCCACCGCATCGCCCTCAACCTCCGGGAGCAGGGCCGGGGGAAGGACCAGGTGAGAGGCGGCCAGGCTCACCTGCCATGGCCGTGCGCCGGGCTTGTCCCATGGGCCACCAGGGGCACAGGGAGAGGGTCAGAGGCTGTGTGGCACCATGGGCTGGACCTGCTGACCATCCCAGCCTCAGAGTCCATGCCACGTGGGAAGAGGCAGGGTGGGGTTCCGTGTTTGCAATGGGGGAGCATTTGCTCTAAAGGGCATTTTCCGTGGAAGCAGGCAGGGCTGGACCTGCTGTGGAAATACCGCAGCATTTCTGCCCTGCAAGGAGGACAGCTGCTGTCTGAGACCCAGTTCCCCTCGGTGCTCTCAGGCTCCCCTGGACATTCCCAGGGACCCCAGATACTCCCAGGGACCCCGACCCACCTGGTCTGCCATGGCGGCTGTCGCCTGGGTTGAGCACCAGTGCTGTAGAAAGTCTGAGTTGGACAGGTAGACACAGGGACACCTGGTTAAGGAGGCGGAGGGCAATGCCCTGCCGGCCTGTTAGCCCACCACCCCCAGAGGCCCCCCACTCCCCCGCTGCCCCGTGTGGACACCATCGTGTGAGTACAACACAGAAGCAGGGAGAACCCAAACCCTTCTTCTGCTCTCAAGTCGGGGCCAGAGGTCCCTCCTCAGATGGGCTGAGTCACCCCGGGGCTGAGGGGCCGAGAGCCCCTCTGGAGTGAGGGGTTCAGTGGAAGGAAGGGTCCAAACGGGATTTCAGAGCTGCATAGGCATGGCCTCAGGTCAGCCCCCACCGCACCCCACACGCAGTGCTGACCGAGAAGCAGGGTCTCGTCTGAGCCTGAGGCCCGTGGGGTAGGCCGCCTGGAGCCTGGCCCTCTGGGGCCTCAGTTTCCCTGGGGCGGGCAGTCCCCTTCTCGCCTGCTCCTATGAGAGAGTGGGAGAACGAGGGGGTGGGCCATGTGTGCTCGGCCACCTGGAGTGCCACCTGCAGGCCATGGGGGGCCAACACACCTGCCAGCATCCTTGCCAGCCTTGTCCAGGGCCTCTCGGGAGGAAGGGGCCCCCTGGCCAGCGGGGGGGGGACGCAGGGGCAAGTAGCCCTCAGCACCGGTGACCAGGAGGTGTTGCACAGGGCATGGGCTGAGAAAGGCTTTTCTCCTCTGCAGCCAGGACGTCTGAAAAAGGTTCAGGGCATCGGCTGGTACCTTGATGAAAAGAACCTGGCTCAGGTGTCCACGAACCTCCTGGACTTTGAGGTCACAGGGCTGCATACGGTCTATGAGGAAACCTGCAGAGAAGCCCAGGTGAGCAGGATGGGTGCCCCTCCCGGATGGGAGATCCCACCAGGTGAGCAGGGTGGTGTCCCCACCACCCTCCTGGGGGTTCTCACGCCCGGTCCCCTGGGGGCTGACGCTGGCCCACCTCCGCAGGAGCTGAGCCTCCCAGTGGTGGGCTCGCAGCTGGTGGGCCTGGTGCCCCTGAAGGCCCTCCTGGACACTGCTGCCTTCTACTGCGAGAAGGAGAACCTCTTCATCCTGGAGGAGGAGCACCGGATCCGGCTGGTGGGCTGTGCCCCCGAGGGAGGGATCGGCCCGAGGGTGGGGAGCAGGCTGAGGGCTGAGGGGGGCCGGGCCAGCGGTGAGTGAGCGCCAGGCCCCGGGAACAGGACACCCGGGCCCGCAGCCCTGTCCCTGGGGCCTGGACTCACTCTTTTGTTTCATTGTCTGTGCTTAGAAGATGAGACCACGCTGTCTGCGTTTTGGGGGCACCATTGAGGTTCGCTTTGTGACCTAAAATGTGTTCTGTCTTGTAGAAATTCTGGTGGGAGGACTGTCTTTCGGCCCCCCTTCCTTCCCCCGGTGTCTGTTCTGGAGCCACCGTGCCCCCAGCCCCCTCCCACTTCTAGGGGTGGGAGTGAGTCTCCGGCCCCTGGGTCCATGGATTTTTGCGGTTCCACGAGTCCCACGTGACAGCTTTGCCTCGAGCTCCCCTGGTCTGGCATTCCTCCCATTTTGAGTGCGTTTCTGACGTTGAGCAATGATAGGATCTCTCCGACAGTTTTTGTTCAGTACTTTAAGTTATTTCCAAGTACTTGCCAATGTAGCAGGTGCTCCTGGACTTACCTATGTCCTATTTTCAGGCATGTCAGGGCAGGTGGGGGCGTGTCAGTGTGTCCTTCTGGTGACCATATATGGACGTTAGTCTATTTTTTAGGTATTCTGGTGATTACTGTTATAACTTAATATACTTACCTCTTTTTATTTAATTCTTTCCATTTTAAAATTATATCCAAATTTTCAACTTCACTGATTTTTATCGGTACATTGACTGCCTTCCGTGAAAATGGGAAAACAAACACACAATACTTAGTCCCACCTTTTTTTCTTTCTTTATTTCCTGATTTTTTTTTTTTTTTGAGTTACAGTATTTTCCAGGGAGGTTCTTTTGGTGGTCAATTTTTCTCCATTTTTTTTATTGTGGTAAAATAGGCAGAACATAAAATCTGTCATCTTACCCCTTTTTAAGTGTATAGTTCAATAATGTTAAATGCACTTGTAATGCCATGCAGCCCGTCACCACCACCCAGGATGGGCTTTGCTGTTTCTGCAAAACATGTCGTGGGAGTCCGGCGAGGTCCCTGCGGCTGTAGGGTGCTGGGCGGCATCGCCGTCCTCACAGCTCGACGTCCTCCATCCCTGAGCATGGCACGCATTTGCATTTTTTGCATGTCTTCAGATTCTTTCATCAGTGTTTTGCCGTTTTCACCGTGCAAGTCTTTCACCTCCTTGGTTCATGGATCCCCAGGTGTTTAATAATTCTTTTGGATGCTATTGCAAATGAAGTTGTTTTTGTAAGTTCTTTTTCAGATGGCTCATTGTCCATGTATAGAAACGCAGCTGATGCACGTGTGTTCACTTGGTATCCGGCTACTTGTCTAAATTCATTTATTAGTTCCAAGCGGTTAAAGTTTTAAGTTGAATAACATACGTCCTCTCTTAGCACTTTATGAATACCAGACAATGTTGACCCGGCGAAGAAAGACGAGAAGATTAATGCACTGCGTGAGCGCCATCTTTGCTCCAGATTTGAATTGTGGTGTTGTTACATGGTGGCATATATGGCATTGACCTTTTGTGCCCATAGCTGCATATGTTAACTGTACTACATATCCGCAGATAATTAATCTTAGTTCTGTAAGTAAGGTCAACTTGTGGCTCTCATTCCCCGCCCGCCTCCTTGCTTGTCTGTTGGCTGGATTTCACAATTAAGCTGATCTGTAATGAAAGGCTCACAGTGGCTTCCTTCTGTGGTTTGTGGCATGTTTGGGAATGTCTTTCTTTCCGTGACTTTACTCTTGCGAGACAGCTGGACAACTGAAACTCCAAGTCACTGGTTGTTCCCCGAGAACGATGTGATCGTACTTGTAATTACTGTCTTTTGGAATTAAATGTCACTTTGGGAGGTCATCTCCCCGCTCGAGGTGACCCATGCTTTCTCCTTGATGCCTGGCGGATTCCCCACCTTCCCCGGGAATTCAATAATGCTGCCTCATCTGTGTCACTGTGGGTGGTTTTATCTTACTTGGGAACAGTGTTCCTTGAGATTTATGGGTTCCATTCTTACTTGCTTTCAGGCACACTCTCTTTTATTATATTTTTGACCCAGTTATTCGGTTCTTTTACTTCAGGGATGCTGATTATATTGTAGAAGCAATTTCTGTCTTCTAAATATTGTCTTTTCTATACTTCCTTTCCATTTATTTCCCCCTGGATTAGTGTGTTTTTCTCAAACTTCACTTCAAGTCACTGGTACAGTTTATGGCCAGTTTATTTTCTCTTTCTTTTTTTTAATTCTCTTTGCAGCTTTTACAAAAGTTGGTGTAACTTTTTATTTTGATGTGGTTCTCTACTCACAGAGGAGATACGGGACTAGTACCAGGGACACTTTTCCACCGTCCAGGTTCACCAGCTGTTTGCAGTTTGCTCCGTTTGCGTTATTACTCCCTGTGTTCACACGCAATCGTATTCTTTTCTGGACCATTTCAGAGCAGGTTGAAGACACGGTGCCCCTTTACCCCTGACTTATTCAGGGTGTTTTTCTTAAGAACAAAACATTCCCTGACACAATAGTATAATTACCAAAATCAGGAAATTCAACATCTGTACAAATTCTAGCATCTGATCTATAGGCTATAATTAATTGCACCGGTGTCTCAATAACTTCCCTTGTAGATATTTATCCTCCGCTCCAGGACCCAGAGGACACAGGGCACTTAGTTGTCATGTCTTTTGTCCCCTTTAATCGGAAACAGTTCCCCAGGCCTCCTGGCTGCTCTTCGTTGACCTTGGCAGACCTTGAAGGACGAGCTAGTTGTTTTGTAAAGCGCTCCTCAGAGGTACGGGCCCCATGTTTCCCACGAGTGGATGTGGTCACGCATCGCCTGTAGGAGCAGCAGGGCAGGGCCGGGCCCTCAGGGCGGTGGGTCGGGAGACCACGTGCCCATCTGTCTCAGGGATGACTTGGGTCCTTGGCTGAGGTGGCGTGGGGACCCAGAGTTTTCCGCTGCCGTCTTTCCGTTCTTCAGCTTGTGACTAGTAGGCACTCTGTGGGGAGGGAGTTCGAGGCTCTGCACACATCCCGTGACTCCCCAAGCTCCAGCCCCAGGCGTCGGGGCCGGCAGGGGCTTTCTGACGTCACCCCAGAAGGAGCTTCCTCCTCGGCCACGTTCGGGCGTTCCGTGTCGACGTGTTGGGTGCTCTCCATTTTCTGAGGTGCCACTTTGTGCTCTTTAGCTGGAAGGTCTGATTTTGCCCATGGTTTCTGCTGACCCTCTTGTGGTGGTTTGTGACTTTGGGGGGTGAGTGTGGGCTCTCTGGAACTTTCTCAGTGGCAGTTCTCAGGCTCCTGGGTATGATGTCAGTGTTTGCCGGCTAGATGCTTGGGAATGCTGCCCCATGGGCCTCTTCATTTATTTTCTTTTTCTCATAACGTTTACTTTTTATTAAGTACATTTTATTGATTATGCTACTATAGTTGCTCCATTTTTTCTTTGCCCCCCGCCGCCCCATACCTCCGTTCCCTCCAGAAATCCCCACCTTACTTCATGTCCATGGGTCGTACATGTAAGTTCTTTGGCTTCTCCGTTTCCTATACTATTCTTAACCTCCCCCTGTCTGTTTTGCGCCTACCAATTGTGCTTCTTATTCCCTGTACCTTTCCCCCCCTCCTCCCCCCGGCCCCCTTCCTGCCGATAACCCTCCATGTGATCTCCATTTCTGTGATTCTGTTTCTATTCTGGTTGTTTGCTTAATTTGTTTTTGCATTTCAGATTCAGTTGTTGGTAGTTGTGAGTCTGTTGTCATTTTATTGTTCAGAGTTTTGAGCTTCTTTCTCTTAGATAACGGGTCACTTTAGACGGAGTCTCCCGCTTGCCGCTTTGGATGCTCACGGCTCGTGAGCTCAGTGAGAGCAGGGCCCACGCCTTCAGCAGGGTGACTCAGGGTCACTGTTTCCAGGAGAGACGGTTTTCTGCTTCCCCGAGAGGAAGGCAGAGAGACAGGGGCGGGCCCCAGTTGCGTCCTTCAGAGGACTGTTACTCTGGTCCACGCTTGGAGATGTCACCTCTCAGGGCTCTGCTGTCCGACACCCACTCGCTGAAGGCTCAAGGCCTCCCCAGGTTGGTGGGGTGGGGGGCCCTGGCGGTGCTCATGTGTCCCCAGGATGGACCCAGCCTTGGGGTGAGTGGGCCTTTCTGGCTCACCTTTCTGGTCCCTACCGGCCTTGAGTGATTTCCTTTACTCTGCAGCTTAGCTGGGTGTTCACATCCATTTTACAAATTCGGTTCATCTCTCTGGTGTTTTTTGTGTCAGCGGGGCTTTGCCTAGTGATGATCCACAAGCACACTCACTCCTCAAGGGCCCCTCCACCTGTCCCCGTGTTTCTGGAGACACCTCACGACCGCCCCGGGACCCTGCTGGCTTGTTCCTCTGAGCAGCACCTGCCGCCTTCTCTTGTTTTGGTGTGGAAATGTCAGCCTGTCTGGCTCAGAAAGAGCTGGGCCTTTGTCGCTGGCATACGGCACCACGAAGTGTTTTGAATGTTTTTTTAGCAGAAGGAATTCTCATCTTAAATGGGGGTTGGTCCACCTTTATTTTGAGTTTAGGTAAAATTCACTGTTCCCTGTGTAACAAGTCTTATGTTCAGGCCCAACAGGCAGCTGCTGGGCCTTGGAGGCTGGTTGGCTGCGGGCTCCTGAGGAAATGAAGCCTCGTCCAAAGGGCAGTGCTGCCGGCCTCTGTCCGCACGATGTCCCGCATGTGGTGCCACCTGCGTCGGGGCAGCCGGGAAGGCCTGCGTGGCTCAGAATGAGGGCCAGGTGCTGAGGGATCGAAGGGCCGGCTCCTCTCTCTGGGCCTCAGTTTCCCTCTGGAGTAACACCTGCAGGCAAATGCGTCAGAGGGTCTGGCAGGGCCCAGGTACCCGCTCTGGGCTAGGTGCTCTCCCGGGTGGGCCCAGCGTGGACGGGGCCCACAGGGGCCGGCAGGGGTCAGCAAGGCCCCTAGTGGGCGAGGGTGTGGCCGGCTCTCCCCGGACTCACTCCCCTCACAGCGGCCGGCGACCAGGGTGGGAATGCTGCCGTGAGCTGGGGTGGGACTGAGCCTTTGGTGGCCTTCCTTATGCGTGGGGGGTGGGCTGAGGGGACCTGTCAGTCACCAGCCCCTTCTTTTCCAGGTGGTGAACAGGCTGGGCCTGGACTCCTTGTCTCCCTTCAATCCTAAAGAACGGATCATCGAGTGAGCAGGCTCCCCCAGGCCCCCCCTTTGCCCCCACCCTGCTGGCCTTCTGCTTGGTCACTTATTCCTCAGCAAACGCCTTGGTGCCTGTGCCAGCCATGGGGTTGGGGGCTGGTTGGTGGGTGCAATGGGGCCCCAGTGAGGTCCCGCACGGCCCTCAGGGAGTTTCCAGGGTGACCACAGCTCCCTCCCTGCACCCCAGGCTCTGGTTGCTCTGCAGACCGGGACTGTGTCCCCTTTCTCATGTTGGCGAGGAGGAGGTGAGGGGCGAGGTGGAGTTAAGGACCAGGGTCTAAGCCAGACCTTCCTTGACAGTCTGTAGTTACCACCCAGGCCCTGTCCCTGTCCGCACTCGACTCAGGACCCCATCCCTGTCCCTCCTGGGTCCTGCAGATACCTGGTCCCCGAGGGCAGACCTGAGCAGCGCTTGGTGGACAAGTCCCTGCAGGCCTTTGTCCGAGAGGTGGGCGCCCGCTCCGCAACCCCGGGGGGCGGCTCAGTGGCAGCGGCCAGTGCGGCCATGGTGAGCTCAAGCAGGAGGAAGGGATGGGAGTGGGGGCGGGGTGGTGGGAGTGGTAGACAAGGACCGGGTGGCGGCAGGGCTCCCAGGCCCTCAACTTGCCCCTCCGCAGGGCGCCTCGCTGGCCTGCATGGCCGGCCTGATGACCTACGGGCGGCGCCAGTTCGAGCCCTTGGATGCGTCCATGCGGCGCCTGATCCCACCCTTCCATGCAGCCTCGGCCAAGCTGACGGCGCTGGTGGATGCCGACGCCCAGGCCTTCGGGGCCTGCATGGTGAGTGCCCAGAGGGGCCAGGATGTGGTCAGTGGTCAGTGGTGATTGGAGGAGAGAGCGCTGTGTGCCCTTGGAGGTATCCAGGCATGCTGCGGGAGGGCAGGGCCTGGACGGGGCTGTGCTCACAGCACAGTGGGGCACAGACACGGTGACCTGTCCACGCAGCGGTCAGAGGGCCTCGAGCACGTCGTGTGGAGAGTGACAGGCCTGGTGTGGCCGCTCCCAGGCAGAAGCGCCTTTGGGGAAGGGAGGGACACAGTCTGAACCTTTATGCCTAGACTTTGGGGGCCACGCTGTTGCCTGGGTCACTTCTGAACAGTGGCTGCAGCCTGGGGGCGGTGGGAGGGGCAGGGCGCAGGGACCTCACAAGACCCCTTTGGGGCTGGCAGCCCTGCCCAGCTGCCAGCCCTTCCTCTCCAGTCCCTTAGCGCCCTCTCTGGGGTCCCCAAGCCAGGTCGCCTGCCTCTGTGGGGGGCCCGACACCAAGGGCTTTAAACCACGAACCCGAACCCGACAGAAGCACTCTTCCCGTGAAGTCTATGCCGTGTGGAAACGCCAGCCCAGTTGGTGACGTGGGCGCTGCCACGAGGGCGCCCCCACCCTGCCCAGGCCCCGTGTGGCCTGGACCTGGCTGCCCCTCACCACAGGCGTTTCTGTGCTCTGTTCCTGCAGGAAGCGATGAAGCTGCCAAAGAACACACCGGAGGAGAGGGAAAGGTGGGTGTCGCCCAGCCAGTGAGGTGCGGGAGGACCTCCGGGCTCCTTGAAGGACTTCACCTCCAGTTAAGCTACCCTCGGGGCACGTGTTTGTGGTTAAAGAATGACCTTCCTGTCGTCCCCACCCTGGTTCCGTCCGCTCAGAGCTGTGGGGGTGGGGTCCCGGGTGGGGCTCCTGAAGGACCTGGGCCATGACCTTTGGCACTCCCTGGGTTTCAGCCGGGCAGCTGCCCTGCAGCGGGGGCTGAGGCAGGCGGTGGCCGTGCCCCTGGAGCTGGCGGAGACAGTGGCCTCGCTGTGGCCGGTGCTGCAGGAGCTGGCCCTGTGTGTGAACTTGGCCTGCCGGTCAGACCTGCAGGTACGTGGTGGAGCCTGGCCTCCCACGGTGGTGGGTCCCTGGGCCATCACGGACGTTTGTGAGTGTTTACCGAGTGCAGCCTGGGCGTGAGCACGTCCCGGGTGGTCTTGTGTGTTGATCTCGTCTGAAGATGGAGAATTCAGGACCTTGCCCGAGGTTTCAGGATAGACAAGTAACTCAAACGGGTCTCCAGAGTCCACCCCAACCCTCTCTGTGCCTCCCCCGCTGCCTCCTCCTGGCCTCCTGGTTCTAGAAAACACAAAGACCACTCTCGGACGTGCACACATCACACCGTCCGCAGCCTGAGTGCAAAGGGCTCGGGCCTGGGATTTCTGCAACTTATACTCAGACCCTGCAGTGTGCAAGGTCTTTATAAGTGAGACACCTGTGTTCTGTGTCTGGTCTTGGGGCTGCAGAGAAGTGTCCCCTCCTTCCCTGGGAAGGCGGCTGCATGTGATTTGTCAAGTACGGAAGCCTCCTGGGCACAAAGGCTGTGCCCCCCCCCCAGGTTCCCCGTGGGCCTCAGTCTGAGCTCTCCTTGCCCCGTGGGATTCTGTGAACATCTAACATGTTGGAGCTCATTGGTGAGGACCCTACCTGTGGCCAGCTCCACCCAGGCCCGGGCACCACGCAGCGTTTGGTGCATCAGGTCAGGGAGCTCTGGGGCCAGTGAGGTGTGGGCCTGGGTCAGCTGAGTGTGAGCCTCTGCATGCTGGACCGCACGGGGTCCAGGGACCCCCTGGGAGGGCCATGCTCCTACCGAGTGACAGGCCACCGTGCTCACTCCATCCCCCACCACCTCCACACCCGGGGTTTTGACCCAGGAGTGGGCCCAGGCTGCCCTGAAGCTGATGTGCTAGGAGGCCGGGCCTTGCTCAGATGAGAGGGGCCTCTGTTTCTAAGCTTGAAGGCGGAGAGTCGGCCGTGGTCATTAGCTTGGTCCTCTGGGTGGACAAGGCTGGAGCCCACTCCCTGCTGCGGGGCACAGGCAGGCAGCCTCAGACGGGCTGCCCGGCTGCCTCTGGGGGCCCTCGGTGATTGGCGTGCCGTCATCGCTGATGAGGTGTGAGGGTCCGAGGGGCAGGCACGTGCCAGGGTGCCAGACGCCGCTGCCCAGCCCAGGCCTAGGCCCCTTGCTGAGAGTGGACGGGGCAAGCCTCACGGTCCCCCAGCCCTGTCCCTGTGGCCTTGCAGGTGGCGGCCAAGGCCCTGGAGACAGGCATGTTTGGTGCATATTTCAACGTACTTATCAACCTGAAGGACATCAGTGATGACAAGTTCAAGGACCAGGTGAGCTGCAGCGCTCAGGGCTGGCCCCACGGAGGGGCCTGCAGGAGCCCCTGGGGCCGTGGTTTGCAGCCGTGGGCCGAGCCTCTGGCAACAGGCCTTCGAGGGAGGTGTCTGTTCATCTTTCTGCAGGGGGAGGAGGCCTGGCTGTGGTCCTCTCTCAGGGTTTCTGGGGAGGCAGGTGGCAGCTCCCTTTCCCTCACCGTGAGGCTATGGCTGGACTTGAGCCAGTCCTGACTGACTGGGGACTGGGAAGCTGCCAGCATCGGGGCCCCTGTGCCCTTGATGGGGCTGTGGCTTGGCTACCCTGCGACTGCCCACGGTGCCTACCTGACTCGTGGGGCTGCCTGGGCCCGGGGTCCCCTGGACCGGCCAGGCCAGACACTGGCACCAGCATCCCAGGCCCTCAAAGAACAGTTGCCCGTCAATGAAATTCCCTCAGCTTTGGCACTCACTGTACTTTCATTGTTATTGTGATTGAGGTCAAATTTACAGAACATACAATTTACCATTTTAACATGTATAATTCAGGGCTTTGGCATACTTAGAATGTTGTGAATTCACCACTTCTCTCCAGTTCTGGAACATTCTTGTCACTCCCAAAAAAGAAGACTCCACACCCCTTAGTGCCCTGTTCCGCTGCCCCAGCCCCAGCTGCCACCGAGCTGTGCGGTTTCTCTCTGTGATTTTGTGAGAATTGTTAGGAAGCGGGAATGGGGCCACAGTGGCCTTTTCAGGGCCAGGCTCTGCCTCCACCTGCCTGGTCCAGCCAGGCTGATGACGTTGGCCATCCTCAGGGAAGTCACTGTCCACGGTGTGGGCACTGAGTTAAAGGACTGACCACCTGAGCACTCCTCCTCTGGCCTTGGGGACAGAGCCCTACCCTCGGCAGTCATAGCTAAAGTGGGAAGACCGGGGGTGGGGGAGGAGCCTGGGGCCTGCCTGTCCCCAGAGCTCAGGACAGATAAAGGGCCCCTCCCATCTCCAGTGAGAGGCCTGTGAGGAAGCCCAGGATGGCCCATCGTCTGAGTGGACAGGCCAGGGAGCTTGGGCCAGAGGTGGCTCGAGGAGGTGGCAGGGAAAGCCTGGGCCGGCGGGGATGGGCACGGTCGCAGGGTGCTGACCAGGCCCCTTGTCTGTCAGATCCGCCAGCGCATTTCCAGGCTCCTGCAGGACGCCAAGACCCAGGCCGAGCAGGTGCTGGACCGCCTGGGGGAGCGGCGGGAGTGACGGCAGGGAGGGTCTCACTGGACTCCACACCCCCAGCGCCCTCTCTCCCTTCCCAAGAGGATCCGGCTCGCCTGACAAGACAGGGCGGCCTTTGGAGACCGTCCCTGTGAGGCCCAGGCGGTGGGCATGGGGGGTGGACGGGGCCTGTCTGAGGTTGGGGGTGTCGCCCACCATCCCCTGTGGCCTCTAGTAAAGTGACAACACACCACTGCCTATGTAGAGTGTTTGGGGTGTGGGGGAGAGGGCTGAGCCCAGTGGGCAGGAGTGGGGGCTGGTGACGAGGGTGAGCTGGGGAGATGAGAGGAAACGGAGGCCAAATGAGGGGACATGCCAGCTCCAGGGCCCCACGTGTGAGGTGTGACGGGCCTGAACCCGGTCACTGGTCACTCCAGGCACCTGGGCCCTGGTGCTGGGTACCCGGTGACCCGGCACGGTGGTCTTGGGGTTGAGTATGGGCACAGCCCCCATGGAGTGACAGGTTCCCTCCAGTCGCATCACTTCCAGTGTAGGGTGGCAGACAGGTGTCTGCAGAACAGGGTGGCTGAGTCCCAGGGACACGCAGGGCAGGTGAGAATGAGGAGCTGCCGGTGTGTCAGAGTTCCTGGGGAGGTGACAGTCTGAGCCCAGAATGAACCCCCTGGGCACGGGTGGCCCTACTGACCCACAGCCCTCAGCGTGAGTGGGGACTAAGCCCCCACAGTGTAACACGGAGCTGCCCTGGCAGGTGCGTGAGCATTGCCTGTCCTTCCATGGGCCTCCAGCTGCTCAGTGCACAGCAGGAGCGGACTGCCGTGCTTCCCAGCACAGCCTGCTGCCAGACTCGGGGTTTGGCCCTGAGAAGTGGCAGATGGGCATGAGTGTAGTCTCCCCATCTTTCCTTTCTTCTTCTTTATTTTATCCAAAAACTGAGGACATGCTTATTGATTTTGGAGAGAGGAGAAGGGGCAGAGAGGGAGAGGAGCATTGATGTGAGAGGGAAACATTGATTGTTTGCCTCCTGAACACACTCTGAATGGAGACTAACCTGCAGCCTTGGCATGTGCCCTGACTGGGAATCGAACCTGTGAACTTTTGGTTTATGCGACAATGTTCCAGCCAACCAAGCCACACTGGCCAGGGCTCACTATCTCTTCCTAGATCTGAGGTTGACCATCTTTTCATGTCATTAACGATCTATTTTCTTTTCTTTTTAAAAAATATATTTTATTGACTATGCTATTAAAGTTGTTGCATTTTCTCCCCTTTATTCCCCTTGGCCCTGTATACCCTCTCCCACCCACATTTCCCCCCCCCCCTTTAGTTCGTGTCCACGGGTCACACATATAAGTTCTTTGGCTTCTACATTTCCCATACTGTTCTTACCCTCCTCCTGTCTATTTTCTACCTACCATTCATGATACTTAATTCTTTGTACCTTCCCCCTCTCTTCCCATCCCACTCCCCCGCTGATAATCCTCCATGTGATCTCCATTTCTGGGATTCTGTTCCTGTTCTAGTTGTTTGCTTATTTTGTTTTTGTTTTTGGTGTGGTTGTTAATAACTGTGAGTTTTTTATCATTTTACTGTTCATATTTTTTATTGTTTTCTTTTTCTTAGATAAGTTCCTTTCACATTTTATATAATAAGGGCTTGGTGATGATGAACTCCTTTAACTTGACCTTATCTGGGAAGCACTTTATCTGCATTTCATTTTAAATGAAAGCTTTGCTGGATAGAGCAATCTTGGATGTAGGGCCTTGCCTTTCATGACTTGGAATACTTCTTCCCAGCCCCTTCTTGCCTGTAAAGTTTCTTTTGAGAAATCAGCTGACAGCATTATGAAAACTCCATTGTAGGTAACTGTCTCCTTTTTTCTTGATGCTTTTAAGATTCTTTCCTTATCTTTAATCTTGGGTAATATAATTATGATGTGCCTTGGTGTGTGCTTCCTTGGGTCCAACTTCTTTGGGACTCTCTGAGCTTCCTGGACTTCCTGGAAATCTATTTCCTTTGCCAGATTAGGGAAGTTCTCCTTCATTATTTGTTCAAGTAACTTTTCCACTTGTTGCTCTTCCTCTTCTCCTTCTGGCACTCCTATGATTCGGATGTTGGAACGTTTAAAGTTGTCTTGGAGGTTCCTAAGCCTCTCCTCATTTTTTTTTGGATTCTTGTTTCTTCATTCTTTTCTGGTTGAATGTTTCTTTCTTCCTTCTGGTCCACTCCATTGATTTGAGGCCCAGTTTTCTTCCCGTCATTGTTGGTTCCCTGTGCATTTTCCTCTATTTCACTTTGCATAGCCTTGACTTCTTCCTCTATTTGTGACCATATTCAACCAATTCTGTGAGCATCCTGATCACCAGTGTTTTGAACTGTGCATCTGATAGGTTGGCTATCTCTTCATTGCTTAGTTGTGTTTTTTTCTGGAGCTTTGATCTATTCTTTAGTTTGAGCCTTTTTTTTTGTCTTGATGTGCCTGTTACATAGTGAGGGGTGGAGCCTTAGGTGTTTAGCAGGGTGGGGCAACTCATGTGACTGAGTCGTGACGCTGTATGTGGGGAAGGGTTGAAGAGGGAGCAATGCGGCTTGCTCTGCTCTTGCCTGGTTTTCAGTCACTTCCCCTGCTACCCACAAGCAAACTGGCCCCTTCTGGTGCTGACTCCCGGGTGGGTGGTTTGTGCACGTCTTAGGACCCTGTGGGTCTCTCCAACGAACTCCCCTGTGAGGCTTGGAGTTTCTCCCACTACCGCCTCAACCCCCACAGGTGTTTTGAGGCTTTATTTCCCGCTGGGGCTCTGGTTTGTGCAGTCTGTCTCGCTCCCCAGTTGTTCCTCCTGGTTTATCTGCACATGAATGTGGGACCACCTGATCGGCCAGCCACCGCCTTGCCTCGAGTCCTCTCTACCTGGCTGCCCTTCTCCGCCCCTCCTACCGGTCTGGGTGAGTGTTTCTTCTTTAACTCCTTGGTTGTTGGACTTGCATACAGTTCGATTTTCTGTCAGTTCTGGTTGTTTTTTGTTTCTAAATTTGTTGTTGTCCTTCTTTTGGTTGTGCGAGGAGGCACAGTGTGTCTGCCTATGCCTCCATCTTGGTCAGAAGCTAGAAGATCCTGTAATTTTCTTAAATATCCCCTATTTTCTTTTCTGAGGCATGTTCATGTGTGTTGCCTGCTTTTCTACTGGCGCCGTCTCCCGACTCAGCCGCACCTGCGGAGGCGGCCTCCTGGCCCCGGAAGGTGCCCGACGTGGCTACCGCCGGGAAGGAGCAGTTTGGGGACATGGGAGCATCCCTCACACCTTTACTGTGTGTCTCCTACGTAATGTGCGTTTGTGGCAGCAAACATTCGAGGACTACGTCATACAAAACACCCAGGACCGCCGTGGTTCCTGTGAGTGAGCAGGTCCGTAGGAGTCACAGGTGGAGCCCAGGGGACTTGGATGTGGGGGTGCCGGTGAGGGAACATTGACGAAAAAATGTTGAAATGAGGATGTTAGTGAGGGCATGTGCCACTCCGAGAGACAGGAGCATGGCCGGTCCAGGCCCTTCGTCTTTGCTGGGTCCTCTTCACTCATGTTCATTCTTCTGAGGGGACAGGATAATGTCCAGATGGGGCCGGGGGGGACAGGCAGGCAGAACACAGGGCCCTGCCAACTGGGGCCATGGTGGAGGGTCCAAGGGAGTCCCATGTATATGATGAAGTGAAGGTTCCTGTATGGAACCATCATAGAACACTAACTCCAACATCACACATGACAGGCAGTGAGGCTGAGGGTCCCCGAGGGGCTGAGGGGTGGGGATGTCGGGCTCAGAGGACAGTCCCAAGAGAGGGTTGGCGTCCTTGCCCTCTGGGGAGGTTGGGTGGAGAGCTTTGTGGACACCAGCATGGCCAGCACTCTGTGGGGCTTAGAGCTGGGAGGCACCCTCAAAGAACCCCAACTGCCCACTCATGGGTATTGTAAGTCCCTTCCAAAGGGACAGATGTTCTTGCCTCCTGAGGGTCAAAGGCAGAACATGCACGTGCCAATGTCAGAGAGACGGATGTGCTTATTCTTGCAGAGGGGACCCCGGGCGGGGTCTGGTGGGCAGGACAGCAGCCATGTGGAGGTGGGGGAGTCTGTGCCTCCCACCACCCTTCCGACCCCTGGAAGTCCACAGACATGAATGCTGTGGTCTGAGTCTTCCAGGTGGTCGCAGGGTCTTCTCTTTCTCTTACTGGCAGTTTGTATGGCTCTTTGTGTGGTGGAGGAAAGGGGGTATCGGAGGAGAAAATGCTTGGCTCGAAGCCCTGCCTCCAGCTGCAGGCTGTGTAGGCAGACAATGAGCAAAGAGGAAGTACCTCCCGATGAATTAGTCAGCCCCACAAGGGAACCAACAAGGTGACAACATGGTCTGGGCTGAATGGTGTCCCCTCCAACTCACACATTGAAGTGACAACCCCTGGTACCTGAGAATGGGGCCTTATTTGGAAATAGAGTCAGTACGGATGTAATTAGTTAGGGTGACAGGAGGTCATGCTGGAGCAGGGTGAGTCCTAATCCCAAATGACTGGTGTCCTCATGAGCAGGGGAGCTGTGGGCACAGACATGCACAGAGAGAACAGCACGTGAAGATCGGGGTGCCGCCGACAAGTCAAGGAGCAGCCTGAACCTGGAGGACGCCTGGGCAGACCCTTCCCGGAGCCTGCGCTGGGGCCTCCAGACTAAGACGATCCACTTCTGCTGTCTCAGCCGCCAGCCTGGGGCCCGTGGTTAGGGCAGCCCCAGGAAACTGGGAATAGCAAGAATGGAGCATCTGCATGGGCCCCAGTGGTTTAATGGGGCGTTTCCCAAGGGGTGGGCTTGAAGACCTGGAAGTCTGAACAAGAAGTCACTGAGGTTGCCAGGGGAAAAAAAAAAGAATCTGTCCATCTAAATAACCACAAAGTAGCCTCATGCAAACCAACAAACATTTTTAAGCTCTTTGGCCCTAGTTTAAGGACAGAGGGAGATGTCATTGACCAAGTAGCATTGTTTTTAGCCCAAAGCTAACTAGATAGGTGTGGATTTCATGGTTGATGCTGTGAAAATGAATAAAGGAAAACTCATTAAAATTGGGGCAGGAATCTCTGAAGGGGGCGTTCTTCTGCAGGACCACCCAATGCCCACACCCCACTACTCTCTGCAGACTCCAGCAGGAAGAAGCTACTTTTAGACCATTTTACTACCCAGGCAGGAGGAAGTTTTTCT